CAGCTCAGTCACTGAAATTTCTTAACTGCAAAGCAGTTTCAAGACGGCAGGGTTAGTAGGTAAATTTAAAACAACAACAAAAAACTACTGTATGGTAAATATAGGGCAAGGTTTCTGGCATAAAAAGGAAAGGAACCCTTGGCCAAGCTTTGATTAAATGTTTATTAAAACGGGATACCATTTCTATTTTAATCATTTTTTTATCTTGGTTTCAAGAGGTCATTTCTCCTAATATTCCTTTAAAACACACAGAGAGAGAATAACCAAATCCACAACATTTCAAGCTTCTCTCAAATACTTTGCTTCATGCAAGCGATGACGTGCTATCACTCTGATCAACTCTGGCTTTAGAAAACTGATCTCGTTTTCTCGCTTCAGCTCTGGCCGCCAAAGCAGCAGCAAGAGCAGCACAGCAGCAGCGGGCTCTTTAATTTATTACAGCCGGTTACACTTTCGATCCCATTTCCTTCTGAACCCTTTCCTCTCAGGTTGGGAAGATAAATGCTGCCTCGAGTCTGAAAAGCCGGGCGGGGTTTGTGGGTGGGAGCGAATCCGGATATCATATTGCCGTGGTGAGGTCTGGTACCGGGGGGGATTAAGTCCCCCAGTTCCATTTAATGAAACTGCTGAGCACTTGTGACACTGGCTCTAAGACTGCGGAAATGGGGCGGGGGTGGGGGAAACAGCTTCTCGCCTCCATTCATCCTCCGCGCCGGCGGGAGGCTGGAGTTGGAGTGTCAGTCCCCAGACAGGGGGCGGAAGAGGACTGGGAGCTCCGACCGCGGCAAGGGCGCCCCGAGGGCTCCTCTCACCTCGCCCACACCCCCACCCCGCCTATTCCGTTCCCTTGCCCAAGTACAGCGCTGCTGGGCAAACCATCCGGTCCTTGGCTGCTCCCGCGGAAAGGTTGGAGGCGGGGACCGATGGGGGAGGGTGGAAAGCCGGGAGGCTTCACGGCCCCGGCAGTCTGGCGCGCTGTTCTCCATGCCGCACACGTCGGACCCATTTCCCACGCTGGCTTGGCTCGGCGGCGGAGTTGGTCAGGATGAGTAGGGAGGGCGGACTGGAGACTACCTCCCGCTCGCAAGGGGGAAACCACTCCACTGTGAAGGACGCGCTGCACAACCCCCACCTCCATCCCCCACTCCCACCCCCACCCCCGTCATCTGGGAAGAAATCTGCCGCGCTCTGGGGAAAAGCCTCCCACTCCTTCGCCCCTCGCTGGTGTGCGCCTGGAGATTGCGCGCCGGAGCGGTGGGCGAACGTTTGAAGATGCTCAGGGGCTTGTTCAAGTTTATGGTCTGGCGAGGGAAGAGTGAATGTACAACGTATCTGCCCACGCGGCTGCCAGAAGTTTGCAAAATCTTAGTAAAGGCGGTTAGAGGAGCGAGTGCACTGCACCATATTGCCGCGCATCGGAATGCACCGGCGCAAGGCCGCGGTGGAGAAAAGGCTTCCCTCTTCCGCCTCGGACCCGGGGGTGGGGGGGGGGGGGGAGGACCGGGTGTCGTGGGAGGCAAGAATTTTGATAAACCAGAGTTTTCCAAATATAAGAGGATTTAGCATTACAGCCACTTAGCGGGCCAAGGAAACGCTGCGGCGCCCGCCCCCGCCCCCCGGCTCCAGACTGCGGCGGTGTGCACTGAGTCTGCGCGCGGGGTTTTTCTCGCTGATGCTGCAGATATAGAGCGGAGAGGCTGGGGAGGCAGCGGGCTTGGGGAATGTGGGGGTGGCCGGGTTCCTGGCCTGGCCGGGGAAGAGAAGCCGCTACACCCTGAGTGCAGTTGCTTTAGCAGACTGAAAAGCCAGCTCCCTGACACTTTCATCCTCCGCGCCTCCAGGATCCCCTATAGGGAGACCTTGGAAATCTCAGCCGTGTCTCCCGCAATCCTGCTGGCTGCGCCCGCCCAAATAACCGCGTGCTACATCTGCTCGTAGACTTTATTAGTGTTTGGTTTTAGGCATTTTGCCTGCTCACCTAGGTCTCGTAAAGGCAGAGTACCCACTCTGGACTGATTTTTCTTTTTTTCTTCTTTTCATCTTAAATTTTCCTTTAAGAGGAGGCCTTTCGATGCCTATACATTGGGCAGATGAGGCGAGGACCAACCAAATCCCAGCAGCAGCCTCTTTGCTCTTTTGAGATGGTAAGATTGTCCCCAAATATCTCCTGCCCGCCTCAGCCCCCTTAATCCTGACGGGCCCCCTTAGCTGCTGAAATAAATGAAGAACAAATGGCAACAGTTTAAGAAACACAAGGAGAATTGAGATCTGATGAGGCGGACTTCAGTGGCTGTGACTGAAAACCGGGGAAGCCTCGCGTGGGGGAATACCATGTACGATCGAGTGGCACAAAGTCAAAAGAAGGAGAGAAACGGAACTAGGGACACTTCGGTACACAAAGTTGCCATTAAAGTTTATTTCCCTTTTATCCAGATAGGTGACGCTACACTTTGCCAGTTACTAAAGGCTGCAGATTTCTGCTCAGAAAATAACACGGAGGCTTCCAACATGTGTTTATTCCCCTGGCGCGCGCGCACACACACACGGTCTACCCCCCCCTAAGCGAGCACGATGACAGGAATGCCAAGCATTTAAACAAAGACAGGCACCACCCCAAACCCCCAACCCCAACCCTCCGAAGTCTGCAATCCCAAAAAAGGATCCTTCTCTGGCTCTCTCTGGAGTTTGATGTCCTCTCTTAACCACTGCAGCCCATCATGGTTTCTCAGAACACCAACGTGGCTCCCTGGGCGCACGCGGGATCCCCCAAGCCACCGTTAACCATGCCCTAACCAAGATGCTAAATCGCGAAACGGAGACACTGGGGGGGGGGGGGGGGGGGGGGGCATCGTCTGAGAAGGGGGAGGAAAAAAAAAAAGAAAGAAACCTTTTCTGACACCCGCTCCAGTGCTCTCACACACGCACTCGGCATTAGTAAGGGAGAGGAGGAAATTTACCAGCCCCAGGGAGGGAAAGCAAGTCTCCAGAGAAAACAGTGGCTGCACTCGCTGGGGAGACGGGGGGAAAGCTTTGGCTTAAAGGGGACGGGACTGGCTGGATTGTGCGCACAAAGAGTGGCCCCCGGAGCTGAAGCTGGGCTTTCCGGAGTGGGGCGGCTGGTTAGTACTCCTGTCTGCCTTTCTCACCTCAACCCTCGTCCCTCCCTTTCCGCGAGTGTATAGTTTCGGTGGCTGGGCTGCTACCGCCGCCGCCGCCGCCGCCGCCGCCGCAGCAGCAGCAGCAACAGCAGCTTCAGGGACAAGCTTTGAGCCGCAAGTCAGCCTGCGAGCTCCCAGAAGCAGCCACCACTTTGGGCAAACTTGCGGGTTTCCGGCTCGCGGCTAGCGAGCGGGAGCTTCCTATTTGCCATTCAGTGTCTTGGAGCTTTGGCAGTCCAAGGGGCGGCGAGCGCGCCCGCACCAGACTCTCCCAGACGCGAAAAGGGACGAGACAACTGCGGAATTCACCCGCCGTGCCAGGGCACTTCCGAGGCAACAACCGACTGGCACTTTTTCTCCCCTTGGCAAACTGGATTTTTTTTTCTTTTTCTTTTTCTTTTTCTTTTTCTTTTTTTTTTTTTAAGCTACTTGGCAGCTGTCTCTGACTCCACCTCCCGCTCACCCCCTCCCCAGTGCCTTTGGCTTTTCTTCGGAAATCCGGACAGAATTGGGCATCTTTGTTAATTGCCGTTGGGGGAGGCCGGCCGGGGGCTTTCGCCAGGCCATCGTCGCCTGAGCACCGAGCTTGGTTTGCTCACCTTTGAACTGCAAAGGGATCAAGTTCAGCCCGAGTTGCCAGCATTGGGACTGGGAGGAAAGAGAGGGAGCGTGCAAGAGAAAGAGTGGGAGAAGGGGAAAGGGGAAAGGAGAGGAGGGAGGAGAGAGGAGGAGGAGGGAGGAGAGAGAGGGAGGGAGGGGAGGGATCGAGAGAGAGCGGGGAGAGAGAGAGAGAGAGAGGCTGCAATCTCCTCCCTGAATCGCGCACAGCGCTGCAGATCCCAGTGCTCCGAATTGCGGGCCGAATGCAGGTGAGGAAAGGCACGGACTCTGCGGCTGCGAACCCAAACTTGGGCACCGCGCGGTGCGCACGGCTCAGCCTTCGCCCCCGCGGGCGAACGGCTGCTGCGGTTTCAGGCGGCGGCTTCGTGACTAATGACCTTGCGCAGAGTTGTTAAGAAAAAAAGAGAAACCCGAGCTCTTGGGGGTGAGAAGAGACTGACTCTGGGCGTCTCTGAAGATGGCTCGGGCTGCTCTTCGGCGCGCGGGGGGGACCCGGACGCGGACCGCTGTGTGACGCGAGTGGTCTCCACTGCACGGTGCCCGAAGCGACCTGACAGGGATTTTCATTCTCGATCTGTTGACTGGCTCCCCCGCTGCCAGAGCAGAGTCAGAGTTCAGACTGGCTTGTTGGGGGCCCCGGTGCCTCGTGCAGGAAGCAACTCACGTTTGCCAGGGCAGCCGGAGCAGAAGCTGGGTCTGGAGTGAGTGGCTGGAACGTGAATTGGACGCAACTCGAGTAGCAGCAAAAACGAACGGGGTTGGCAGGCGGGGGAGGCTGCAGGCTTGTTCCCCGCCGCTTCCCGGCTCCACCACCCGCCTGCCGGAGCGGTTCCGGCCCCATCCGACAGAGCGGGAACCGGAGCCCGGGATCCTCCGCCCGCTGCGGGGATGACTCTGGGGGGGGCGCCGAGCCCGCGGCGCGCAGTGTCCCGTGAACTGTGAGTACTGCGACTGAACGGCGGCCGGCGAGCGGGCGATTAGCACCCATTGCATGAATTATGAAACAATAACTTTCGGAAGAAGCAGAAGGAAAAAAAAAAAAGAAGAAGAAGAATCTATCGCCGGTCCCCCTGGCCGACTCCGCACGGTGCTCTTGCCCCCTCCCTCCTCTCGCTTCCTCCTTTCCGGGAGAGAGAAGAGGACTGGGAGGAGGGCAGGCGGTCGGCCCCGGAGGAGGGGGGCGCCGAGGGGGCTGTGATTAGAAGGAGCAGTAGCAGCAGCAGCAGGAGAAGATGCTGAGGATGCGGACCGCGGGGTGGGCGCGCGGCTGGTGCCTGGGTTGCTGTCTCCTCTTGCCGCTCTCGCTCAGCCTGGCGGCCGCCAAGCAACTCCTCCGATATCGACTGGCTGAGGAGGGCCCAGCGGACGTCCGCATCGGCAACGTCGCCTCGGACTTGGGCATCGTGACGGGTTCGGGTGAGGTGACTTTCAGCCTCGAGTCGGGCTCGGAGTACCTAAAGATCGACAACCTCACCGGCGAGCTGAGCACGAGCGAGCGGCGCATCGACCGCGAGAAGCTGCCCCAGTGTCAGATGATCTTCGACGAGAACGAGTGCTTTCTGGACTTCGAAGTGTCGGTGATCGGGCCCTCGCAGAGCTGGGTGGACCTGTTCGAGGGTCGGGTCATCGTACTCGATATCAACGACAACACGCCCACCTTCCCGTCACCCGTGCTCACGCTCACGGTGGAGGAGAACCGACCGGTGGGCACTCTCTACCTGCTACCCACCGCCACGGACCGTGACTTCGGCCGCAACGGCATCGAGCGCTACGAGCTGCTCCAGGAGCCCGGGGGCGGTGGCGGCGGCGGCGGCGGCGGCGGCGGCGGCGAGGGCCGGCGCGCAGGGCCTGCCGACAGCGCCCCCTACCCCGGGGGCGGCGGGAACGGCGCGAGCAGCGGCGGCCCGGGCGGCTCCAAGAGGCGGCCGGACGCACCAGAGGGCGGCGGCGGGATCAACCCCGGTGGCCGCAGCAGCGTGTTCGAGCTGCAGGTGGCCGACACCCCGGATGGCGAGAAGCAGCCACAGCTGATTGTGAAGGGGGCGCTGGACCGGGAACAACGCGATTCCTACGAGCTGACCCTGCGGGTGCGCGACGGTGGCGACCCGCCTCGCTCCTCTCAGGCCATCCTAAGGGTGCTCATCACCGACGTGAACGACAACAGTCCCCGCTTCGAGAAGAGCGTGTATGAAGCTGACCTAGCCGAGAATAGCGCCCCAGGGACTCCCATCCTGCAGCTTCGTGCCGCGGACCTGGACGTGGGGGTCAACGGACAGATCGAGTATGTGTTCGGAGCGGCTACCGAATCCGTGCGGCGGCTGCTGCGACTCGACGAGACGTCCGGCTGGCTCAGTGTCCTGCACCGCATCGACCGCGAGGAGGTGAACCAGCTGCGCTTCACGGTCATGGCCCGCGACCGCGGGCAGCCCCCCAAGACCGACAAGGCCACGGTGGTCCTTAACATCAAGGACGAGAACGACAATGTGCCGTCCATTGAAATCCGCAAGATCGGGCGTATCCCACTCAAGGACGGGGTGGCCAACGTGGCCGAGGATGTTCTGGTCGACACCCCCATTGCTCTGGTACAGGTGTCCGACCGAGACCAAGGCGAGAACGGGGTAGTCACCTGCACCGTGGTGGGTGATGTGCCCTTCCAGCTCAAGCCCGCCAGCGACACAGAGGGCGACCAGAACAAGAAAAAGTACTTTCTGCACACCTCGGCACCTTTGGACTATGAGACCACCCGGGAATTCAACGTGGTCATAGTGGCGGTGGACTCGGGCAGCCCCAGCCTCTCCAGCAACAACTCCCTGGTTGTCAAGGTAGGAGACACCAATGACAACCCGCCCGTCTTTGGCCAGTCGGTGGTGGAGGTGTACTTTCCCGAGAATAACATCCCTGGAGAGAGGGTGGCCACGGTGCTGGCGACAGACGCTGACAGTGGGAAAAATGCAGAGATTGCCTACTCTCTGGATTCTTCCGTTATGGGGATCTTTGCCATCGATCCTGATTCTGGGGACATCCTTGTCAATACGGTGCTGGACCGAGAGCAGACAGACAGGTATGAGTTTAAAGTTAACGCCAAAGACAAAGGCATCCCAGTGCTGCAGGGCAGCACCACCGTGATTGTGCAGGTGGCTGACAAGAATGACAATGACCCTAAGTTTATGCAGGACGTCTTTACCTTTTATGTGAAAGAAAACTTGCAGCCCAACAGCCCTGTGGGGATGGTCACGGTGATGGATGCTGACAAGGGGCGCAATGCGGAGATGAGCCTCTACATCGAAGAAAACAGTAACATTTTTTCCATTGAGAATGACACGGGGACCATTTACTCCACAATGTCTTTTGACCGGGAACATCAGACCACATACACATTCAGAGTCAAGGCTGTGGATGGGGGAGATCCTCCCAGATCCGCCACAGCCACAGTCTCTCTCTTTGTGATGGATGAGAATGACAATGCTCCCACAGTTACCCTTCCCAGAAACATTTCCTACACTTTACTGCCACCTTCGAGTAACGTCAGGACAGTAGTAGCTACAGTGTTGGCAACAGACAGTGACGATGGCATCAATGCAGACCTTAACTACAGCATTGTGGGAGGGAATCCCTTCAAGCTGTTTGAGATTGATTCCACCAGTGGTGTGGTTTCCTTAGTGGGAAAACTCACCCAAAAGCATTATGGCTTGCACAGGTTGGTTGTGCAAGTGAATGATAGTGGGCAGCCTTCCCAGTCCACCACGACTCTGGTGCATGTGTTTGTCAATGAAAGTGTTTCTAATGCAACTGTGATTGACTCCCAGATAGCCAGAAGTTTGCACACCCCACTCACCCAGGATATAGCTGGTGACCCAAGTTATGAAATTAGCAAGCAGAGACTCAGTATTGTCATTGGGGTGGTTGCTGGAATTATGACAGTGATTCTAATCATCTTAATTGTAGTGATGGCAAGGTACTGCCGGTCCAAAAATAAAAATGGCTATGAAGCTGGCAAAAAGGATCACGAAGACTTTTTTACACCCCAGCAGCACGACAAATCTAAAAAGCCTAAAAAGGACAAGAAAAACAAAAAATCTAAGCAGCCTCTATACAGCAGCATTGTCACTGTAGAAGCTTCTAAACCAAATGGACAGAGGTATGATAGTGTCAATGAGAAGCTGTCAGATAGCCCAAGCATGGGGCGATACCGATCTGTTAATGGGGGGCCTGGCAGTCCTGACCTGGCCAGACATTACAAATCTAGCTCTCCATTGCCTACTGTCCAGCTTCACCCCCAGTCACCAACTGCAGGAAAAAAACACCAGGCCGTACAAGATCTGCCACCAGCCAACACCTTTGTGGGAGCAGGAGACAACATTTCAATTGGATCAGATCACTGCTCTGAATACAGCTGTCAAACCAATAACAAGTACAGCAAACAGGTAAGATGTGTTCCAAATACATCTAAATATCCCACAGAAGGCTAGTAACTCTAGACAGAACATCTTCTGTGAAGTTTTGTTTTCTCTTTTAAAGCTATTATTTAAAAACTTAATAGCAGTGAATTAATGTGAATTCATAGATCATTAATTGACCACAGGCCATCCGCGCGAGGTACCCCCTTGTATTTTGCAACCTACCAAACCAGAGTTTACTAAGCTGTCTAAGAATATATTCAAAGTAGGCGGTGTTTTGTACATCTCTTTATCCTTGACAGTACTAATTCATCCTACATTTTCTATTTTCAGGAAAAATATGTATATATGGTTTGGGTGGTTAGCTTTAACCTGAAACTATTTTGTTTTGTGGCTACTCAGTGTATAATTACATCCCGGGGGGGAATTTCTAAAGTTACTACTGGTGCCTATGCAAATTGAACACTATAAAAGTTTTATCTGTGTTATGTATTATGTAAGATTGTACAGATCATGGAGGCTGGTTCATGCAAATATAGTAGCAAGACTGAGATACTTAAATACTGATTACTTTGACAAAAATATCGATTTAAAAACATTTAATGATACACAAATATCATGCAAAACTGCATTTTTAATACTTCAGTATCTGTAACAACTAGACTTCTGTGAGGCTATGAAGTTAGCACTTGCATTCTTCGTGTTTGGTATTAAAAGTTTATAAGAAAAAGTAAAGTGCATGATCCATTTATTATTTAAGCTGAACAACAGAAATGTTCTTGTTTGATGCACTGTGTAAAAAAAAATTTTGGTCTGCCTTGTGATACCCTGACGTTATTACAGTTATAGGGAATATTCAATACCGTTGTTTTTCAGTGAGATGTAGAAACAGTTTTAAAAAGCATATTTTTAGATAACTTCAGAAAACAGAAAATTTATTTTTGTAAGTTTTGCTTGTGTGATATATGTAATGCTCACAAAGTTTACTTTTTACACCCACCAAGGTCTGACTTCGGCAAGTAAAACCTTTTGGAAATTGCTGTGTCTAATGCTGTAGCAGCCCCACTAATAAAATGCCACATATTTCTTATCACAAGAGCTCATCTCGAAAAACACATCTATGATTGTCAAATAATATCAAATAATAGTTTTTCTATTAAATATGCTTTGCATGTGGAATGTACAATGTGAGAAGAATTAAGGCAAAAGAAAAACTTGTTTTATAGCGTCATTAAAGATGTTATTGATGGGCTCATTAAAGACATAGAAAAGAGATATTAATTCCTTACTGCTTTCATAGTTTTAAAAATCAATTTCCTAAAGAAACATTTGCTACTTATAGTACTTTACTGCAGCTATTTGGTTAAGGAGAAACAGACTTCACATGATTTTATATCCAATTACCACAGCAATCCAAGAAAATATAGGTTACTTCATTGAACTTCATTACATTAAATAGCTTTTGAAAATATGTGATTCTTGTGAGCCTGAGCTTGTGAGTTACTTATTTCTTTTAACCTGTAATTTACTAAGTGGAAGGTTATATTTGTTGTGTTATTGCTTTACCTGGAGTTAGAAGAAGAAGATTTTTGTTTTGTTTTTGGTACTTCTATCCCTTTTGTAAATAAGGACATGTCCAGGTAAAATAATACTACTTTTCTAAGATGGCTTAGGAACACCCACAGATAAATTAAGGTCTATAGCAATTTCCTTGGAAAATGATAACATGTAGTGCAAAAAGTGTGTGAAAACATCTTTCTTCAGAATGTTTACTTCTTCACTGTCATCTTAATGGAATGTTTTGTCCTGTGGCTGAATGGCATTTATATTTTAACTTGCATAATCTTAAACTTTGGAACGGACATATCAGGTGGCAGATTTATAGATATTTTATACAACCCCCTCATGTGTTCTGTGCTGTCACTTAAGCTTTATTTGGCTCATCAAATGAGTTTGGCTCTATATTCTTGAATATTTAAGACAGCCAATAGCTAGACTGTTGTGGCATCCTATTTAAAAGGCAAAGTGATATGCTCATAAATAAACTAATGTATGGTGTTAGAGACTCTTAACAGAGCAAAGAAGTCTGTATACCAAAATAGAAAACCTGCAAAGCCATTGGTATAAATCATGCAGTTTGCCAAAAGTGACTGGAAAACTTATATGTTGTTAGGTATTCAAAAGATGTGTAAAGTTTTTACCATAATAAAGAGCTGAAACAAAATGAAATAAAGGAGAATGAAACACATTCCCCTTAATCTAATTAGTAATAGTAATTGATACTCTTCATCTCTTCAATATTGCTGTCAGGGGACAAGGGATCCATTTACAAAGTTACATTCTGTTTAGACATCTGACACAATAAACAGGATCTTTTTTGTTCTGATTTTTGTTTGCACCATAAGTAGATGATTTTCTATTTTTATTTTTAAAAGATATTAGCTTTACCTAAAAACAACTGCCAAAATGTATTTTCTGTGTTTAAATTTGATATAAAATAAAATAAAATAAAGAACACAGGTTTTGTTATAATTCCCCCCTTTGATACTGAATTTATCTAAGAAAAACCCTGAGGGATGCCATATTTTAATTCCTTATGGTAGGGATTAATTAAAAATCAGAGATTTCATCTGACATAAAGTCTTCATTGTATTTATAATTCTCTTGAATTGTTTAACATAGTTCTTTACCTGTGATATAGTGGAAAGGGTATTTGTTTACAGTGTTTTCATCTTCATGATAATTAGACATTTCAAAGTGTTGCTCTTAAATCCTGTTAATGGTTATATTGTAGTAAGTTAAATAGCTTTATGGAAACAAGTTTGTAAATAATGCCCCTCCCCCCTTTTTGGCTTGTTTTCACTGGGTCTAGAAATTTTTAAATCAAGCTTCTGTAGTTACGCTTTGGCAGAATCTAAAAGATGTGTGTTGCAGAGTTGCTGTATTTTTTTTTTTTCCTTTCTGAAAATCACACCTTAGCAAACCTGATGATGTAGCCCAGGTTTCCATAGTTCAGACCTTTGCAGTTAAAACAATAGCCTTTGCTCTCAACTAAATAATGTGTCTAATTGAGCCTAATGTGGATCATTGACAGCATTATTGAGATTAAGTGTCCACCTTTCCTTTGCTTGGTAAACCTGGTTTTAGTGGTTGTTCAAGTTTTGCGACTTGGAAATACAATTGTGCTTTTGACTTATAAAATAAAAGCAGAGGAATTCTATTTTTCTACTTATTTTATAATCTTCAGAGTCGTATTATGTGTTAAATATTTTTCAATTTTTTTAAAGAATAGTATAATTCCGGAAGATTAGTAAGCATATGAAAGTATAGTCACTACTTTGTTTATTATTTTTAGGTCCTGTTGAGTTTATTCATGCCATGCTCTTATTCAGATAATGCACTGGCAAGTAAAAATTTTATTGTATTTAGTAAATGGAAAGTAAAGTACTTTACTTTTGGCAAGAGTAAGGAAGATACAGCCTGAATAAACATTAATTTAAAAATCCATTTGTAGCTGATGCAGAAATGCTCAAGAAAAATTCATATTAAATCCAGTGATAGTTTCCTTTGCCTTTGGAACTGCGGAATGTAGTCTGAATAATATTCTCTTTAAGTGCTCAAGTTGTGTTCAATATATTCATTGTATACTTAGTAAAAAATACGGCAGAAATCACTTTTTTTTTTTTTAAAGATTTTATTTATTTGACAGAGAGAGAGATCACAAGTAGGCAGAGAGGCAGGCAGAGAGAGAGAGGGGAGGAAGCAGGTTCCCTGCTGAGCAGAGAGCCCGATGTGGGGCTCCATCCCAGGACCTGGGATCATGACCTGAGCTAAAGGCAGAGGCCTTAACCCACTGAGCCACCCAGGCGCCCCAGCAGAAATTACTTTTTAAGTTACTTCCAGTCTGGAAGCAAATGGATGACTTGCCGTCATCTATTAGAGTTTTCAGCACTGAGAAAACTAAGTATCAGTTTGTTCGTGTATGTACATTACATCATACATATTATAGTAGGAATGCATCTGCAGAGTGATGCCAGCCACAGCTTCTAGTTTCATTTTGATAAGCATAATTTCTACAATATGATTCTTCTGTGTATAACCAGAAACACTTTCAGGAGGCACAGGGCATCTGCATATGGTGAAATTTCTGTTACATTTGGCCTGATGTAATAGACGAGTGGCTAATAACTGATGAAAGGTTATGTCTTTTGTCAGGAGATATCTACTAGAGCAACATTACCTAGATCTCTGGATGTCTATGAATAAGGAAAGGGTCATCCACTGATCTGATCTACCTTGCATATATAAATTTTTATGTAAGGTATGACAATCTGAAACTTATCTCAAACTTATCCCAAGTCAATTAATAACTTAGACGTGAGACCACAAAGTCAATTTATAGATTTTAAGTAAATCATGCAGCTGGATAAATATAGCAAAATCATTCTTTCCTGTTATCTTCTATTTTGGAGTAATTGCATACCTTATAAATGTGGAAAAATGTACACCTGGTATCTCTTTCTCTGTCTCTCCGCACACACAAACACATACAGATATATTCATATAAACCAAGTATGGCACCATTGGACTTTTATTTCATTGTGATATTCATGCATTAATATATGGAACATATTTGAACTTTAAACATATACAAAATTGAAAGAAAATATAATCAACCATTTAGTGTTTGTACCTAAAAATCACTGGAGTCATCACATTTTTGAATTAAAAGATATCATCAAAACCAGGTCCCTCATTTTATATGAAGAGAGACTGAGGCCTTTCTCTCTCTGTACCATTGAGGTGTGAATTTGGTTTTCTGCTGGTTCCTTGACTGATGCAATGAAACTTAAGAAGTTGAAGCCTTTATGATAAAATAATTTGGTTGAGATCACAAGATTATTGAGGATACAATGTGGATACAAGTCATGGAATGCAGAGGCCAGTGTTCTGGTTCTGTTTTTTTATCTCTATGAATAAAATTGAAGTCACATAACTTTCACTATATATATTTCAATAGAGATAGA